CAATTTGATCCTATTAGAATTTGTGTTCTTGTAATAAGCAAGACACCCTCACACTTTGAAGTATCAAATGTTCGATTTTCTTCCTTTCCATAATTCATAAGGAGAAACCTTTGTATATTTAGAAGGAATTCTATTAAGTATCCTACATGCACTTAATAAAGTTTCACCCCATAAATTAAATGGCAACTTAGCATATATAAGCATAACATTAATTATTTCTACTAGGGTTCTATTCTTTCTATCAACCAAACCGTTTTGTTCGGGTGTCCTAGGTGTAAAAAATTGGTGAATTATGCCATGTTCACAATATACATTAAATTCACTAGAAAAGTATTCACCACCTCTATCACTTCTTAAGGTCTTTATTTTCTTATTTAAGTGATTTTCAACTTCATTCTTATAAATTTTAAACAAATCAAAGGCCTCATATTTGTGTTTCATTAAATAAACATAAGTATATCTTGAGCAATCATCAATAAATGTTATGAAATATCTATTTTCACCTCTTGTTAACATGTCATTCAATTCACATATATCGAAATAAATTAATTCTAATATGTTAGAAGTCCTCTTAACGCTTTGATAAGGCTTTTTAGTCATTTTTGCTTCTACACATGTTTTGCATTTAATGGCATCATATTTATCATATGAAATTAAGTCACAATTTCTCATGCATTTTATTGTACTTTTACCTATGTGACCTAGTCTAGCATGCTATAAAGAAAATAAATCAATCATGTAAGCAAAATCAACTTTATTTATTTCATGTCAATAGTACAAAGTTTGATCATTCTTTCACATGAATAGCTCTTTTCAACAAATTTCTCGTTAAGTGATAATAAAAGTTTATCGGACTCAAAGACACTTTTAATGTCCGATTTTTCCAAAATATTTTCACTCACTAAGCTCCTATTCATATCCAGAACATGCAGTACATTTGTGAGAGTAACATTTTTTCCAAAAGTGAAAATAATTTCTACACTTCCTTTTCCAATTACTTTGGACCGCACCTCGTTATCCATTTTGATCTCTTGGACTCCATCCACTTCATTGTATTTTTTGAACAAAGATTTGTCATATGATACATGCACCGTGGCACAAGTATCATACCACCTGTCGGGAACCTTTTTCTTAATTGCATTTATTTCGCTTACGGTGGCCACTATCTTGTCTTATTGGACGGAATTTACTTTACCCTCGGAGTTGTTGTGTTTCTGGTGTTTACAATCTTTTGCGTAGTGTTTCTGGTGTTTACAATCTCTTGGTCTTCTTCTTGAACTTATTAAGATTCCTCGAAAGCTTCCTTTGTTGGATTTTGTTGGCGGTTCGAAATTTTCTACAGCATTTACTTTGGAAGTGGCCTCATGAGAATCATTTTTATCACGTAGTCCCGACTCTTCCTCAATCCGAAGATATTTTTGCAATTGTTCCAAAAAATAATATTCGGAACTATGCATTATCTTCTTCAAGTATTCTTTTCAAGTTCCGGGAAGTTTGGCAATTATAGCCCCCACTTGAAAGGTTTTCGGTACTTCAATTTTCACCGCCTCCAACTTATTGACAATTACTTGCATTTCATGTATTTGAGGAAGAAGGAGAATATTGTCTAAAAATTTAAAATCGAAGTACTTAGAAATTAAAAATTTCTTTGTACCTTCTTCTTCCACTTTATACTTATTTTCGAGTGCATTCTTTGCTGAAGTTGTGTTTGTATATAAGTCATACAAGCGATCTGATAAGGCGTTGAGAATGTGACCGCGTCATATTAACTCATCTTCTTGGCGCTTTTGTCTTTCATTCCTCACCGCTTCAGTTTCTCTATTTGTTGGTTCCGGTAGTGGCGCCAATTCCGGATCTAGGATGTAGAAGATCTTTAGTGCAGTGAGAAAAAAATTCAATATGTTTTTCCATCGAGTGTAGTTCGTTCCATCGAACCGATCTAACTGTACCAAGTCTTGATTCATGAGTTTGATTGTCTCCATCGTTGTCTCGCTTTCCATTGCAGAGCTATCGTTTGAGATTGTTGGAGAAATTTCAATGGATTTGAGTAGAAATCATAAAATATGAACCGGAAATGCCAATAACAAGAAAATCACAAATTTGTATCAACGAATTGCTTGAACACGATATCGTTGTCCTCAAATGATATTTGCCCCTTCTCCTATGAATTTGAGTGCTTCGAAGGTTGTTGACAAATGATTTACAGGATTATAACAAGCCTTGCATGGATTTAAGCACCAAAATACAAGTGCAAATCCTAGAAAACTTGAAGAACACAAAGAATGAATGCGAATATGACTTTTAAAAAATTTTATATTTGATTTTAAAAGTAATATGGAACCTTGATATTTTTGTGATGTTTTTGCCTTCAACATAGATCCAATATATATAGGCATACACCATATTCACGAAATGGTACCAAACTTTAAGCCAAAAGCCACCAATTTTGAATTTACAACGGGAGAAAACGACATCCAATGACTAAATAATTGCACCATGTGACCACATGATACAAACCCATGCGGTCGCATGGTTTGCCCATGCCGAGACCATTTGGTGTCGGCATTAGGCCATAATAGCCATGCGGTAGCATGAAACTTTTTTTTAAACAACAAATCACAGCAAGTTATATAGTTGATTTTGTGGTTTTCCTGCTGAAGTTAAGTTGGGATCTTTTTCTTAAATCATTTGTTGTTTCGACAGGATTATGTTCCAGAAAACCTCGATAGTGTGGAAGAGTTTCAGGCTCCTCCATCACCAGACTCGAGCTATAGTCAAGCTATCCCGATTCTGTGGAAGTTCCACCTCAACTCCACTTATCTGTTCCTGAAAAAAATTTACAAAAGAAAAGTTAATCATACACCCCATTTTCTTTAATTGGTTTGTAATCTAAACCCATGTTTGAGCCACATTTTAAGAAAAAAATGCATTATTCATGTCAAATCATTGAAAAATGTGTGATTAAAAAATAAGATTTTTTTTAGATTTACGTGTAATATTATTTTATTAAAAAATGTGATTGAAATGATGTCAAATTATTGTTGAAAAATATATATTTTTTTTTATAAATAATATAGCTCAAACAAGTCATAAATGAGTAATACAACAATGCTTCATATACATCTGACAGGACGGAACAAAAGGAAATTATGGTTTGAGATTGTCTCAGTAACTATTGTACAAGCAAACACTGAATTATTAAGATATGAATGACGTAAGCCCTTTTTATTTTCTCGTTAAAACTTTGAATTTTTATGCAAATGAACCTTTTTGGGTAGAGATTAAAATCAATGTCTTTTACAAATTCTGATAAAAGTTAATAAAATGTGAATTGTGAATATCATGAAATATTTAGTTAAAATTAATTATTAATTTTCATTTTAATAAAAATCTAAATTTTAGAACCAAATAAAGAGAAAATGTTAGATAAAATTTTTAAAAATTATGTTTATATTTTTAGCTCAGAAGATGATCAATATTTAAATTAAAATTAATGATTAATTTCAATCATATTAAATATGCAATTCACAAATTTTATCAATGTTTTCAGCTATATATTTTATAATTTTTATTAAAAATTTGATTTTTAACAAAGGGCGCATGCGAGTAAAAATACATAAAAGAGATGATTTGTCCCAAATAGACAAGTTGAAAGATACGACCAGGGCCTAGCTAACACGCATGGGCGAGAATAAGCGCACAAATTTATAATTAACAACAATAAACTCACTGCATGGTATATTATTGGGATTGAACTAATTTTATTAATTTAATATAAAAATTACTACATTAACTTAGCCCCTGTTTGATGCCCATTACTTAAAAAAGAAAATGGAGGGAATAATATTTTTTAGAAAAATGAGTGGTTGAAAAAGAAAGAAAAATTTTTGATTTACGTGTAATATTATTTTATGAAAGATTGCGTGGTTGAAAATAGGAAAGAGAAAAATGGAATGTAATATAATTTAATTTAATGGGGATCAAACAGGGGCTTAGTTATCCATAGTGCTAGTATAGAAGTAAATTATGCACTACATTAATAATATTATTGAAACATGTCAAATACAAGGTTATAAACTTTGATAATAGAGAGAGAGATAATTAAATAAAAAATGAAGCTTGCCCCAGACCTAAAAACAAGGGCAGAGGTGACACCCACCTCAGCCCTTGATTTCAATTGAAATCGGGGGCTAGGTCCCCCTGTTTTTACACCTGTTTTTTTGGTCTGGATGAGGAGCATTTTTGATAAAAAAAAAAAATAGTACATGTTTCAGAATATCTAGAGTCATCTTGAAAGTCCAAGATTTTGTGTAAATGTTTTTCTCTTTCAAGTTCTAAAAATTATGCAATATACAAATAATTATTACTAAGTAGAGGCAAGTTGCTCAAGACTGATCTAAAAAAATCTCTTATCGGAGCATGGAGTCAATCATTTGTAATAACTTACTCAACTTGGGATCAAAACTTTTTACGACCATATGAATATTCTTAGTATATAGGGTATCACTATAGACGGATCTTACAGTATAAATATGTTCCGAGGCATGTTAGTACTCAAAGAAACATGGTATGAACAAAGACACACACATAAAGTTGTCCTCCAAATATTAGAACGTTGTATATAAGCAAAAGAGGTTACTATTGCTAGGCAATTTGTATTCTTAGTGACCCTCAACATCCTCAGTTGAACACCTACCCTGCACTAAAGAACTCGTTTAGCATGGGACTATCTGCTGCTGGTTTTGTTTTCTCCTACGTACTATCGAGGCAGAGTATACAGAACAGTTATAAAAGTAAGATGCCTTAGGATGACCAGATAAAGAAGTAAGATGCCTTAGGATGACCAGATATCTTTATGTTCGTACAAGATCCAGATGCTCAGACCAAACATTATCAGACTGCTATACGGTGAAGTGGAATTTGACACGAGAAATATACAGACATAAGAAATAATTCAATTTACATCCAAAGGACGTTGTTCAGAACAGCAAACCACTAGGTCAGTTCAATCCAGAAAATCTATAGGGAAACACAAGTGTATATCTGTAAGTATATCAAGAAACTGGTCACCGATAAGAAAATAAGTGAAAGTTCTCTGTCAAAGAAACTTAAAGATACTTAACAACCCAAAATGTCAAAACAAGGGACAGAGCAAACATGCATGAACTGAAGAATAGCACTTAAAACAATGCAAACAGGAAAATAGGTTAGCACCCAGAAACAGGAGAGAGGGCGTCTTAACCAGAAACAGAAATCTCGTCAAATTTAATTTCCCTATTTCCACTTTTGGGTCTATTTAATACTTTTCAAGATTGAGTTTTGTCTTGTTCAGTTCTCACTTGGCCATCATCACCTTGACGAACTCCTCATAGTTGATTTGCCCATCACCGTCAACATCGGCTTCGCGGATCATCTCATCTACCTCTTCATCGGTGAGCTTCTCACCAAGATTTGTCATGACATGGCGAAGTTCAGCAGCAGAAATGAAGCCATTCTGATCCTTGTCGAAGACCCGGAAAGCTTCCTTAAGCTCCTCCTCAGAATCAGTGTCCTTCATTTTCCTGGCCATCAAGTTAAGAAATTCTGGGAAGTCAATTGTCCCATTCCCATCAGCATCAACCTCATTGATCATATCCTGAAGCTCAGCCTCAGTTGGATTCTGTCCCAAAGAGCGCATCACAGTCCCAAGTTCCTTGGTCGTAATGCAACCTGTAGCAGTATTCAGATGTAATTATAACCGAAACAGGCAGTTGCAATAGCAAATTATAGGCCATATGCAAGTTTGTTTAAATGAAACTAACATCAATTTAATAAAAATTCAGGTACAAAAATCTGATGGAAAGCCAAAAAAGCGGATGTGTAAAAGAGATGCAAATGAGTTATTAGAACTTTAAATGCAACTGCAGCTTCGAACTTGGGTAATAGAAAGAAACAGTTTGAAAGTTTTCATCAACCCAATAATAATGGAAGGAAGTAGCAATCGAATTCCTTCACTCCACAATAAGACCAATGCATTTTGAAATGACTGATTTTGCATGCTTCAAATGTATACAGTTGCAAATCATTACTCATAATGCT